CATATCTGACAAGCACGCAAACAAACAATTGGTCATCTCAGGAAATGAGCTTCAAGCATTCTTTCAAAACACCTTGAAGAATAGCAACAAAAACCTTGCCATTGTTGAAGGGGGAAAAAATGCACAAAACTCTCTCTAATGACCCTTGTTTGAAATGAGTGATTTTATGGACTTCTATTTTCAAGTTTAACATGCTTGTTAAACCAAAAACACCTTTTTGTCCTTCAAATTTGAAACTTTATATGCACATGCATAATTCACCTGAATTTCATCCCATAAAGTTCATTTTAAAAGTATATAGAGTATTTTTGTGTGAAATTGATTTTTATAGGATGTACTTTAATCTTGCTGAAGGAAAAGCATAAACAATATTTGAAGCTGATGAATGATCCAAAACTTTTTTTCTGATGACACAAATGATGACATTTCAAATTTTTTTCATTAATTTTTGGTTTCAGGCCCCAAAGTCACTTTTTGGCCCTCAAATGTGACATGCAAAATCCATCTGGATTTTAGCAAACAAAGATCACATGTCACATTGATTTATCAAGGTTAAATTTAAGAAATTGATTTAGCCATGAATTAAGAACACTTACAGTATTTGTGTATGAGGAATGAATTTGATTCTTGCTGGAGAAACACAAACAAAATTTGTAGTTGATAAAAGACAAAGCAAATTTTTCTGATGACATTTAAAATTTGCTTGAATAATTTTATGTTTCAGGGATGAACTATTGAGGAAAATTATTCTTTAAATGTCCAGTCAACATTTACAAGGATGCCTTTCATACAGGGGTTTATATATTTTAGCTGATGATTTTTGTTGTTGTTGAGATGATGAGGGTGAAGTATTAAAAGAGAAAAGGAGATCTTCTGGTTGGTTGGAGGGAAGATCCCTGCGCAGGATCCTCCCCCCATATCAGAAAAGGAGGGGGAGAAAAACCAGGGAGGAAAATTGCTGGACCCACAGCTCAGGGATCCTCTCAGTCATCAAGCCTACCTCATCCCTGGTGGTCATGGCCTCTGGGAAACCAGTTGTGTTTTCAATTGACAAAATCCTGGAGCCTGGGGGCACCATCAAGGACACCCATGCTTCTCCACCAGGTGGAGCTGAGAGTGACTCTTCTGAAGGTTTGTCATGTGTGTGTGTGTGTGTCAATGCTTTTTCCAGGACTTTATATTTGACACTTTTATTTTTATTTTTTGGTGGTGTGTATATAGATAATCAAGAACAAGTTGCAGACAGCAGTCAGTTTCAGTCAAGGATGGCCCCTGAGGATTTCCTGAGGCTAGGGAATTTTTCTGAAAGACCAGGAGTGTTTCCCCTTGGAATGCATCCCTTTCATGGGTTACCTGGGCCTTCAGCATTGTTTTGCAACCCTTGGGTCACTGGCAGACCCTTTCTTGGACTTCAAGGTGGGACTTGGGATGATACATCATGTTTTTTTTAGTACAGTACAGCAACCTGACAATTTAAATATTTTGGCTACCAAAGGATCAAAATCTGCTCTGTGTTCATTTGAATTTTTTTTCCTTAATTTCAATTTAATTATTGCCTTGAGCTAATTTTTGTCACTTTACTGACATTCAAAGGCATTTTACAGTCAGAACAGGTTCACAAGCACCATTAGCCAGTCAAATCTTTTTTTTCATATAGGCATATTGTCACAAAAAACTATAAAAATAATTTTATGCAGATTTAAAATACTAAATAAATTTATAAAACATGCAATTGTTGCAGGTGAAACTCATCTTCCTAAAGTGATGAAAATTGTTTTAAAGATTGTCTAAAATGAATAGATTTAAAACTCAACATTAAAAATTTGTCCACCTTCATTCTATTCACACAACAAAAAAAAAAACCCCACTTGAAGAGCTTCAAGACTGGAAAAACCTTTTGGGAAATGGTTTTCAGATCTGTGAAATATTCATCAGTTTTTGCAACTGCTAAATTTAAAGATATTTGGCATCATTCAAGTGAATGGCCTGCAAATAATATTCTAAAAGTTGTAACATTGGCCACTGATGTTCATTTTACTTACTGATATAATACACACTTATTCACAGTCTATCCCTATATTTGAGCTGAAGCCAAAAATTAAATTATTGATTGAGTTATGAAAAGTAACTTTTGGGCATTTGTCAAGCCATTCCCAGATGGACAGCTTCACACTACTGAAACAAAAACTCACAGCAATTGGTTGATTGCTTGCTGATGCTGACATGTACTCATTCATGTTGTTGTTGTTGTTGTCCCTGCAGCACCCAAGCCTCAGGGCAGAAGAGCCAGAAAGCCAGGCATTGACAGGAAACCAAGACAGGCCTACAGTGCCAAGCAGTTGGAGCGCCTGGAGGCAGAATTCAAGGTTGTCCCTCATGCTCATCATTTTCTGAAATGGATAAATAAATGCTGATCTGATTTTTTGTTGTTGTTTCAAATACTGTATATATATTTTTCCAATGAATAGCAAGACAAGTACCTGAGTGTCAGCAAGAGAATGGACCTGTCCAAGACCCTCAACTTGACAGAGGTCCAGATCAAGACCTGGTTCCAAAACAGGCGCACCAAGTGGAAGAAGCAGATACCAATGAATAGCAAGACAAGTACCTGAGTGTCAGCAAGAGAATGGACCTGTCCAAGACCCTCAACTTGACAGAGGTCCAGATCAAGACCTGGTTCCAAAACAGGCGCACCAAGTGGAAGAAGCAGATGACTGCCAGGATGAAGCTGGCCCAGAGACAAGGACTGCTGGCCCCATTTTTCCCACCTGCTGGCCCTGCTCCTGCTGCCCCTTTCCTGCATCCCCTGTTTGCATCATTTTATTCTTCTTCTTCAGGCAGCCATAATCAGACACTGATGGAGGAGCATCAGCAAGCTCATTTTGGTTCCTTCATCAGGGCATCTTCATC